TTTTAGCAAATTAAGAAAACTTTGTCTAAAACAATTTTTGTGATGGTTTGTATTTTTTGTGCTCTGTATGGAACATCAGTGCCTGTTTAAGTGATGAACTCCATTACTTGTGTTTGTTTCAGACATGATAACAGACGTTTTATACTTGTGCTACAACTTTTTGGCCTGTGCTACAAAACTTTCAACCTCTGTAGCACCAGTGCTATGTGAAAAAAAAGTTAACGTACAGCCCTGGTGTTGATGTTGACTCACCGGTTGCTGGATCACGGTTTCTGTTGTAGACCAAAAACTGCCTCTAAGCTCCATTAACTTTCTAACGTATGTACAAGCATTTGTTCCTCGTAAATGTATGCATACTGCAGAATATAAATTTAACAGTTAGGCTACATATTATAAATGTGAGTGACATAACAGTAAATAATATTTCTGAAATGTTATTCATCATATCACCACTTTCAGTCTGAGTGGTGAAGCGATCATGAAAGACCTCATCTTCTATTATGTAAGTGATGTGGGGGCTCAACCTGCAGAATATAAATTTAACAGTTAGGCTAAATATTATAAATGTGAGTGACATAACAGTAAATAATAACATTTCTGAAATGTTATTCATCATATCACCACTTTCAGTCTGAGTGGTGAAGCGATCATGAAAGACCTCATCTTCTATTATGTAAGTGATGTGGGGGCTCAACTGACTGGTAAGAGGTTTCATGCATGATTTTATAACTCACGAGTAGCAATCAGAAATTCTGTGGCTGTGAATTGGGTAAGCAGATATTTTGGTAGGCCTCTGGAGCTCATTATTTGGTGACATTTCTGCAGAGGCACACAACATATGTCAGCAAAAATTAGTGACTCTCGGTTTATCCCTCTGTTAGATTTATATAGTTTTGATTTTATGCTTACCATACCATATCCTGGAGATGAGCTCATGAGTTTTTCTAACCTAATAAAATCAATAGCCCTTCTGTCTCTGTATTATTAATCTGTAACTTCATTCTTTGCCTATACATCGATAGATACGCTTTGCAAAATACGTCACGTCATGTAATCCAATATTATATAGAATTAAAAACAAATATTTTGTATTCGGAACGCTCTCCCGCGACTAAATGCAAAGCACTGTAATAAAAACGGACTAGTCTGGTGGACATTTTAAACAACTTCCTCATTATGCAGATTTCGCGCCTTTTGTAATAGCATGTCCGGTTTTCGGTAACATTTTACATCATTTTAAAATTCAAACAAAAATGCGAACGAAATGTCCAGTCGTCTATTAAAAATCGGTCATTTTCTGCGGGTTTTTTTTTTGTTTCCTTTTCTTTTTTCCCTTGTTTTCATTTAAGTGTGCGGCCGGTAGTCAGGTGACGCTGACGTCAGCAGACTCCTCCTGTAGGGGAATCCCCTCAAACTCCACGCGTGGATTTTGCTTTGGGTTTGAAAGAAGCCAATTTTTGTTGTGTTGTTTTGGCCCTTGCGTGAGTCACTCGGAACGCATCACCGCAAGACTCTTACAAGAGTAACGTGAAAACCGTTTGGGGGAGAGGAGGTCGGAGAAGTCAATTATCGCAAGGTAACAGAGAGACAATTGTGCTGATTCGTAATCTGTGAGAACATACTTTTTTTACATTCATTGTTTGATTCGAAACTATTTCGTGCATTAAAGTCGGGATTTAGAGTACAATATTACTTTATGCGTGCAGATATTTTAACGAGCTGACCTCGATGCGATAAAAGCTGATTTAAAAATTTAAACTAAAACTAATGAATTAACAAGAGCGGAAACTCAGAGGCCCAACGGCGCTTTAAACGTTATCGTAACGTCAAGTCGTGAAGCAGGTTAGCTAGCTAGCAGTCGAAAATGTTCAAATATGTTTTTAATGCAACACGTTAACTTATTGTGTCTTTTTAAGAAATCTGTCTTTGATGTCTGAATGATTTTTTTTCTTCTTGACTTTAACGGTATCTACAAATATGCGATTAGCTTGTAAAGCAAATTAGCTAACAGTTAGCTAAGCGGTATTTTCGAAACTTGGCTCATAGAAGAGCGCTTATGTGAATGTTTCTGTTGAGCGGTCATTTGATTTAAACCTGCCCTTAAAACGTTTCGCGATACTATTTACAAACGTGATTTGGTTGTTTAATTTGAAAGTTATCGCACTCCGTAAAGAGACAACGTAGCCGGCCGAACCGTTTGAAAAATATCGAACGAGATGTTGTATTTTCATTATATTTTCTCTCGGAAGTGCTGAGCTGACTGAAAGTTTTGTGTTATATCTGTAGTTTTGCGAATCTAAAACAAGCCATGGCAGAAAGTCAAGAATTTGCTGATCTGTGGGAGAGAAACCTCATGTAAGTTTGCAACAGAGACCCGGCGTTGGTCACATCTTCAGTTTTATGTGGGTGCAGGCGAAATTATGTCAGGTTTCTGTAAGAATTTTTGGGTTTTTTATTTATTTTTGGTTGGTCAAGATCTATTGAACTTGTCATTGTGCATCAGTACTCTGTTGTGTGTATTGTGTGTGCTTTATTAGTTTAATGCTAAACTAATTCTCTATCTCGCTCCCAATTTGTGTCTCAGTTCCACTCAAGAAGCCGGCACTTGCTGGGAATTGATCAGTGATGAGGTATTGTTAAAACAGCATGTATATACACATACCCTCTGGTATTCATACTTGTTTTTCAGTGCTGGACTCTTATGTGTTTCAGCAGTATCTTCCAAGCTCCTTCGATCCAAATATTTTTGATAATGTGCTGACTGAACAGCCTCAGCCGTCCACCTCCCCTCCGTCCGCCTCTGTTCCTGTTGCCACTGATTATCCTGGGGAACATGGCTTCAAACTGGGGTTCCCGCAATCTGGCACCGCCAAATCTGTGACCTGCACTGTAAGTTACAAATACACACATACATCCATGCATACAGTACTCAACTTGTGCATTTTAGTGTACCCGATCACCCATATAATTCCCCTAATCTCATATTACTATACACTAGCATCCTAAATAAATGAAAAATCAGTTTGGTAGTTTCAGATTATTGCTATTGGTTGTTCATATTCTGTTTGGAAATAAAATGGTTTCTAGTGAGTGTAGATAAGTGTTAGTGGTAATATCTAGTTAAAAGTTAGTGACAGTTAGTAGTAAACTAACGTTATGTAGTAGTTCAAATATGCACATAGATGCATTTGTACCTGAGGTCATGTAGAGACTCAAATTGTCCTTTCTGGTGAGCGCTGAATCGGAATGCTGCCAGGATACCGCGAGACTTAATTTGTTCTCCATCATCTCCTTCGTTCCTGTCCTAAATAATACTTCAGAATTCCCATCTTTTGTGTATTCCCTGCTCAGGTGTAGAGAGCTTTTGTGGTCATTCAGCTTGTCAATCTAGCCTCTGGAGTGGGCAAATAAGAAATCGAATTTGGCAGTTTCTTATTGCATTGTCTGAAGACATGAATGGGCATGTTCTCATGTGGAGCGCCAAAAACTTCTCCGGTAGCGTTGGGGTTAAAAAAAAAAAGAAGTGCTGCCCCACTGCCTCCCACCCCTCACCAAGTCTTTTTTTCTATCTCTTTCATCTGTTGTACGTTTTTGGTACAGATCCTAATTTTTTAGCAAAACTAATTCGTTTATAATCCATGATGCCACACAACCCTACAGAAGAGGTTTGAACAATGGGTAGAAGCAAATATGTAGATTCAAACTCAAAGTTACTAGAAATTCATCGTATATCAGTTTGGAGAGGTTGCAGAAAGAAATGGCTGTGCATTTGGCTTACATTTACACTTGTACGTATTTAGTAGATTCTTTTATCCAGAGCAACTTACAATAGAGAAAAATAATTCATTACACAGCCAATAACAGTCATTGTGTACAATGGCAGGTTTATTAGAAAGCTACATTTGGGGAAAAAGCTATAGCTTCTGTAGATTATCTGTGTATTTTAGTAAATATAGTTTAATACACACTCTCGTGTCCAGTATGTAGAAAGAGGTGTTGCTCTAAGATGGCAGCTTGGATGACTGCATTCCTTGTCAAAGAAGCTTTCACCTACTCCTCAGTGTACACTACCATTTACATTAGTAATGAGTCATACATCTAGCTTTGTCAGTCTCTGTTGTGTTTAGCCATCTAACATTATTAAATCTGACAGTACTTATATTTTATGTAGTCCTGTAATCTGTGAAATCTTTGTTAATTTTAGTTTTTGCTTTTTGCCTTTATTTGTATTTTTTGAGCAGCAGTGTTTTATTAGTAAGCTGTATCTGTGGAGTTTGAACATGTCTGAACTTGTCCTCATAGAGCAGTGGGGGAGGGGAGTGTCAGTTCTACAGAAACTGCAGTGTACAAGACTCAGAGCAGGGACGTTTGGCATCCAAAAATTAAGTCTAACTGTTGGAGGGAGAAGTGCGTCCTGTAAAACTGAGTTTTAGAAAAGAGAGTAGAATTTTAGGCTGTTATAGTGCTAGATAGTCAAGCTGGTGTGTTTCAGATCCTGTGAGAAACTACACGACTGCACATGATCTGGATGGTAAGAGGACAATACAATTTCAAAAGCTCAAATTTGAATGTGATAAATTATATAATTTCTATAATATATACTATTTTAAAACTGATCAGTCTAATAATATATGTCTGAACTTAATTTTTTCAAGATCTGTGAGCTTTTGTAGTAAAGATTGAGACTTTTGACACTTACAAATCTTTCTGTCCTTCTGTTTAATGTACTAGGTTAGATAAAACATGTTTTATTATAATTTTCATTGTATGTATTTTTTTCTGGAATAAGACAAATGCATTTTAAAAGTGTTAATTTAAAATGTTACAAATACTTCAAAATGAGCATGTTTATTGTTAAAGGCTGTGAATTTGCTTTACCTGTAGTGGTGGTGTTTTAAAGGAGATTAATTTATTTGTTATTGTTAGCACACTGTCAGTCCATTAAAACCTCTCTTCAAGACGTCCACTTTAAAGCACCAAAATTCTAGTTGAAGTAGCTGACCTCACTGATCAACTAGTAGTCAGTTTTTGGACTGCTTGTTGATCATCTTAAACCATCCGTTATATCAGTTAGCATTCTCTGTAACAAATGTTATGAACGTTCTGTTGACTTGTGTGATTACTACTAATACTAACTGCTGTGACGTATTAATATTTTTTTCAACGTGTGACTTTTGTTTATATGAACCAAAAACATAAATCACCTTTACTTTCTCTCTGATTTCAGTACTCATCTGATCTGAATAAGCTTTTTTGCCAATTGGCGAAAACTTGTCCAGTTCAGATGGTGGTGGAAGTTGCCCCTCCGCAGGGCTCGGTGATCAGAGCCACAGCCATTTATAAGAAGTCCGAACACGTGGCTGAGGTGGTCCGTCGATGTCCCCACCATGAGAGAACCCCAGATGGTGATGGTATAGACACGCTCTTTCTCATCCAATCTTTCACCATTGTACAGGAAAACACTAGCTATACTGGTGCAAGTTCCACTAAAAGCAATTACCAAGCCTGTTTACTCCTTCCTCAGGATTGGCTCCTGCTGCTCACCTGATCCGAGTGGAAGGAAACTCACGTGCTCTTTACAGGGAGGATGATGTCAACTCAAGGCACAGTGTGGTGGTTCCCTACGAAGCTCCTCAAGTCGGTCTCAGTATTTTGATCTATAATAAGCAAATGTATTGATGTTTGTCTGTTGTAAGTTTCGTCATTGTAATGTCACTCTTTCCTGTGCTTTTTTTTGCAGCTGGGAGCGGAGTTTACAACGGTGCTATACAACTTTATGTGCAACAGCAGTTGCATGGGTGGGATGAATCGCCGGCCCATCCTCACAATCATCACTCTGGAGACTCATGAGTGAGTCGTCCATCTTTGATTCCTCTGTTAGTGAATTGTATTCCAATGTGGATACTAAGGATCATCAAATCTGCTTTTACTCTTGTCTTGCAGCGGTCAGTTGCTGGGCCGCAGGTCTTTCGAGGTGCGTGTGTGCGCGTGCCCAGGCAGAGACCGAAAAACTGAGGAGAGCAACTTCAGGAAAGACCAGGAGACCAAAACCTTGGGCAAGACCCCCTCTGCTAATAAACGTAGTAAGTTTGCATGTGTGTGTATGAAATAAATTCAATTCGATTCCATATACACTGCTGAATAAAAGCATTAATTTCTTTCAAATGTCATAGTAATGTGAAACTGATCTGACAGGTTTGACGAAAGAGTCAACTTCATCTGTGCTTCGACCTGAGGGCAGTAAAAAGGCCAAACTGAGTGGGAGCAGTGATGAAGAGGTGTATACCCTGCAGGTGATCATGCACCTTCCTGTGTCTTTTTTTATCATCCTCCTGTGATTTTTATGGAAATGGTAGTTGGTTTGATTGAGAGTGTGAAAGGTGCTAGTGTACTAATCTAGCTTGTGCTTTTTAAATGGTATTGTCTACTGCAAATGTGCTTGGCTAAGACCTTTAACAAAGTGTAGTTTGTGGTTGTATGACTTTTAATATTAGCCTTCTCTTCATGCAGGTGAAGGGTAAAGACAGATTTGAAATGTTGAAGAAGATTAACGACAGTTTGGAGTTGAGCGATGTGGTGCCTCCATCTGAAATTGACAAATACCGGCAGAAATTGTAAGTGGTGATATGCCACAACTACACCCTGCACAAAGGTCTTTTTTAGGGCTGTCACTAACAATTATTTTGGTAATCGAGTAATCGGTCGATTATTCTGAGAATAATTTGAGTAAACTGATCTTCTTTTTTTTGTAGTAATAAAAATAGATCTAAGCTGACTTAAAATACATATATAATAGCAACGAGGCAATAATAATTGGTTCAAATAAAATATCAAAAGCAAGTAACCATTTGCTTTTATTGAACAAAAGTATTAAAATACATAGCCTAATGTAATAGAACAATATAATCATAACTTGTGTACATTATGTATTATATGGAATGCCTGCAGAGGGCGTCAACGGCCTGACGGCTGTTTTTAATACTTTACAGCTCGATATAATCCTTGTTTAATAGTGACTAAACAACATTTATTTCAAAAGTCCTCTTGATCTTTAATATTTGGTCACTTCTTTATGATAGAAATGCTATTGCCACTGTTATTTCTTGAACAAGCACATGTGGACATGAAAACATGCATACTAAGAGCAAGGGTTTGAACTTCTATTTTGAAATTGTGATGAACATTTAACTTATTTAGAAAGATAATGATGCATTCTCCTTTGTTGCCGTAAGTTTATAAATGATTTACCTTATAAATCTGAAAGAATGGTGCACATTGTTAGCAGATGAAAGATTGAGATTGACACGGTGCATGTAATTGTAAATGATAACTGTTTGTGTGGAGCAGCACTTCCTGTGAACGGAGCCGCTCTGAGATGCTCGTAACCTATACGCATAAAAATAAAGCGCATATTAAACCCACAGCACATATATTTATTTAATTGAATCGCAGCCTTTGTGAATTTACAATAGCACTATGCTTTATTATGATTTTAAATGGTTTAGTATTTCATGCAGCCTTAGAAGACGGTCTAATAATGCCTTTCATGGATTCTCATCCTTAGAATGTGCCTTACCTGGTATTTTGCTGGTTAATCGACAAAGGCAAAATACAATTGGGGATTTTTTTTAATATATAGTCAAGTACTCAAATTTATTCAAGGAATCGTGACAGCCCTAAAGCAATTACACAATCGCTGTCAACAGAGCTCATTTGACACACACACACACACACACACATATATATATATATATATATATATACACACTATAATCTTTCATTCATGAATTATTATTTTCATTTAATTTATTACTGATTTTTTTTTTAGACTCACCAAGGGCAAGAAGGAGAAGGATGGCCAAACACCTGAGCCCAAAAGAGGCAAAAAACTAATGGTTAAAGATGAAAAAAGCGACTCTGATTAGGATGGCGGGATGCTGGGATGCCTTTCTTTTGCCTTTGTTTGACCAAAACAGTTTGTCATAGGGAGCATTTGGTGATTTGCAGATCCATGATCCCTCAGTCCTGTATGTCATGTGTTATCTTGTTTACTCCACTGGGACCTTTGTAAGTCAGCTGATTCAGAAGTGGTCTATATGAATGAGGCTAGTAATGGCCGGGTGCTGTAGGTGTGTAGTGCTTTATCAGCACTGGAGGAGCAATGCTGACCCATCATTTTGCAGACCCGATAAATGAATGTCCAGCAATGAGGTTTAACCGTGTGTGGGATTATTCCTGTTGTAGGTCAGTGCAGGTCACTTTCCTCCCAACACGTAGTGGTAAGGTTGTAAAATTGTCACTGACTTACTGGATGACCACTTTGTTGAATTTTTTTTTTTTTTTTTTTTTTTTTTTTAAAAAAAAAAAAAAAAAAAAAACTCTAGCTTTCTATTCTACTTGTTTTTCTTTGTTTGTGTATATATATATATATATATATATATATACACACACACACCTTGCTACGTGTACTGCGTTAGGCTAACCGAGACTTGTCATTTAAAGAAGACAATTACTTATTAATAAAATCAGTATAAATGGTTACAAGCCAAATAACTAATAAAAATAACACAAAAAAAAATAATTACATTTTGTTTTTGGAATCTTGATAATACTATTCTACTGTTCAAACTTAATGTATATTTTTATGCTGTTTTTTTTTTCTTTACTGTATACACATAGCTATCTTTTATACATATATATATATATACACACATGCATTTATTTGTAGCTGAGCATTTTATAAAAAAATTTTTGTAAGAACGTTTTTTTTTTTTTTAAATACATTCTTTTTAAAAAATCATTTGTGTCTTGATTTCTTTTCTGGTTCGAGCATTAATGCACCGTAACATTTTTACAGCATTTTCACAGTAAAGTTTTTATGGTTTTAAATAATGAAGATAAGCTACAAAAAATTGCATGCATCTAAGATTCATAATAAAATGATTGCATTGTATTAACATTAACTTAAAAAACATTGTTCTGGGTGTTACAGCTATGTAGTCAATCACAGTGTGCTTGTATAGTATTTTTATGAATCTCTTAAAGTATTCACTGTTTGCACTCCAAACAGCAAAGCTTCCGAAACCATCCTCGATACATAATACCCTAAATTTAATAGGATGGTTTCAAATCCCACCCACTAAGTGTGCACACTTTATTTCCACAGTAGATGGTGCTATATTAAGCAAACTTGCATTATTGTTAATAACAATCATGTGGGCTAGAATCAAATGCTTTTATGGATTATATATAGACATTTTCTAAAAAAAAACATACTCCATTGTACTCCTAGGCATTTTGGATTTGGATATAATGGAGAATATCATTCAGAAGCATACCTTGCAAAAAAGATTTTAAGAATATTGATTTATCAAATTGTTGTTAGTCATGCTCCACAAGGACTAATTGACCTGTGCATTGTGGGCACAGCATTTAAAGTTCACAAAACTTTGCACACATTGATGCCAGAGCGGTCTAAGGATATGCCAAATTTCATAATTTTCCATTAAAAGGGAACTCATGAAAATCCTCAGAGCAAAGCTTCCGAAACCATCCTCGATACACAATACCCTAAATTTAATAGGATGGTTTCAAATCCCACCCACTAAGTGTACACACTTTATTTCCACAGTAGATGGTGCTATATTAAGCAAACTTGCATTATTGTTAATAACAATCATGTGGGCTAGAATCAAATGCTTTTATGGATTATATATAGACATTTTCTAAAAAAAAACATACTCCATTGTACTCCTAGGCATTTTGGATTTGGATATAATGGAGAATATCATTCAGAAGCATACCTTGCAAAAAAGATTTTAAGAATATTGATTTATCAAATTGTTGTTAGTCATGCTCCACAAGGACTAATTGACCTGTGCATTGTGGGCACAGCATTTAAAGTTCACAAAACTTTGCACACATTGATGCCAGAGCGGTCTAAGGATATGCCAAATTTCATAATTTTCCATTAAAAGGGAACTCATGAAAATCCTCAGAATTTTGCAACTGTACTGAAGTTGACATTTACAACCAAAACAACTTCACAGTATCCACAGGATCTCATCCTTTAGATCTAACAATTGTAATCATTTTATCCACCTTTCCAATCTGCTCTTGAGCCCGATGATTTGCAGCTGTATTTGTATTTAAGCACAAAAAGGGCCGCTTATCTGTCCTCATTAGTCCCCTATTAAAACATTTGTCAAGTTAAAAGAATTGTACACTCTCACGAGAGGACGCCTCTGGTGTGACTTCTGTGGAGGACAGTGTGATAAGTGTGCGTCCATCCAGTGGTGCGAAAAGCGGGTACAACTTTTCACGGAAATTTGCAGTGAATGTAAAGATATGTGAGCGTGTCTACTTTATAGAAAGACACCTGTCCTTCTTCATAGTCCAGGTACACTCCCAGCTTTTTGGGCACAAGTGACAGAGGTAGCTCGGTCTCTGGCTTGGTGCATGCATAAAACTGCCGTGTGCTTCTCCATATTGTCCAGAAGCCCTCAGAGGGGTTCATGGGACCCCGGCCGTGCCTTTTGGAGGATGCAGTGGTCACTCCAATACGCCAGTAGCCATTGTTGGCAATATCAATTTCCCAATAGTACCGACCGGAAGTGAGCCCTTCCCAGCCCAAGACACACGGCCAGCTGTCGAAGCGCTGGGTACTGAAGGACACTTCAGTTTCATTCAGAGCTTCCTGTACCTTTCTCTTGTCATCAGAGAGCTGCAACCATGGGTGGTTTGTCATGGGGTCCAGTGTGATGTCCACTAAACAGGTGCAAAGATAAAATTGAAAAGCTTTCTTAAGCCAAAAGGAATTTCATTGGCAGCTGAATCATAAACGGCTGAATGAGTGATACCTGAAGCACTGCGGATCCATCTCCATACTATGGAAAATAGTGATAAACATTATTACAACAGTGATATGATGAATGTAATTGCATTGTAGATGCTTTCCACATTAAATTGTGCACTGAACAAGATAAATGCAGAAATCAGTACCTGGAATGTACTTTGGTGTCTCTGTCAAAACAAATGGAATTGTACAGTATGATAAAGTATGAGCACATGTCAAAATTGTTTATAATCATTTAAACTATCACTTTTTCCTAAAAGGAATTTAATATAATTTGCCAAATCACCGTTTTAGTCTATTGAAAAATGCAAGTGAAGGTTTTACCTGTTTTCCAGGTACGCTATTTGCTGATGAGCCATAGCTGTGGAACAACACCCTAAAAAAACATTGTATGTAATACATACACATAAATATACTGCTTATATTACTAAATGACATTATTATATATTGTAGAACATATATGAGATAATGTTATATCCCTAATTTGTAACTGTCAATAAGAAGTGGTTAGGCTGAATATATTTAAAAAATAAATAAAATAAAAATAAATTGATATATAATATATAAACATCTGCATTTGTAATTATGCTGAAACCTAACCTCTGTTTATGTCTAGTATCTTCAAAAACACGTTACCAACTTGGGGATGATCGTACCTATCTATAAGCTGTGCCAAACTGTTTACACAAGTATCTCTTGATAATGATTGTTTGTCGATTCAGTTTATGGATGTAAACTATGGACTCCAGTTACATGTTTTTTTTATTTAATTTTTTTATGTTTATTGATCTCTTTTCTAAAACTTGTACCTGGCTGTCCTGTTTCAGTAGAGACCAAGTTATGAATTCCAAAAAAGGCAACAGAGTCAAGATTTTCCTCTTCTTCAGTTCCAGCTGCTTCAGAAAATGGGCTAATTCTTGTCTCATCACACCACAGCGCTGTACATGGGGATTTTTTTTTTACTTGTATACACACATAATATACTGTATACAGATTTTGCAAATTATTACATATGTCACATGGGGTCAAACCCACTGTCCTCACCTCCGACACAGTCTGTAGCTCTTTAGCCCATTCCATGATCTTCTGCTCCATATGCTTGGCAGAATCCACCTTGTTCTCTTTCTGCTCCCAAGATGCATCTCCTTCTTGTCGCCATGTGCCCTCACTAAACAACTATAGGACGGAGAATATAAACAGATAAAATCTTTTTTCTTAATGAAAACAATGCATGATGTTTATACATAAGTATCTTATATCCATGAACTCACATCGTCAAATTTCTTGAGCTCCTGTGCCCACTCAAGGATGAGTTTGTGGCATTGCTCCAGACTATGTGGCTCTGCATGCACACTGATATTTGGGTCTTCGTCTGCACTGGAACCAGGCTAAAACACACACACACACACCGTCAATTATTACTGAATTCACGAGTTCACACTTACATATAATAAACTGAGTAAAGGTTATGCGTATTTGGCGTGCTGTCCGGGGAGAGGGCTCCGAGCTTGTTAATTACTCTCTGGCCTGGGGTACTCCCCCTGTCCGGGGAGAGGGGTCCGAGCTCGGCTTTTAGCCTGGACCCAGAGCGCTCCCCCCGAGTGCTCCTCCCCATGCTGGGGTAGGATTTGGGCTGAAGGTGAGGAGTCGGGGTGGTGGAGGGATGAGGGATATGCATGAGTTCACACTTACATATAATAAACTGAGTAAAGGTTATGCGTATTTGGCGTGCTGTCCTGGGAGAGGGGTCCGAGCTCGGCTTTAAACCGGACCCAGAGCGCTCCCCCAAAGATGCATTTAGCACGGGACAGCAGCCAGAGATTGGTGGGGTGCTGGACGTCGGTTGTAGTAGCGGCACAGTTGTGGCTTTAGAAGAGAGAGCTAGAGGCTCCTGCGGGAGCTGACACTGCTGCGGCAGAGGGGAAATACAGACAAAGGCTCCTGCGGGAGCGGGCACTGCTGCGGCAGTGGGGAAATACATTCAAAGGCTCCTGCGGGAGCGGGCACTGCTGCGGAAGTGGGGAAATACAGACAAAGGCTCTTGCGGGAGCGGACACTGCTGCGGCAGTTGGGAAATACATATAACGGCTCCTGTGGGAGCAGACACTGCTGCAGCAGTGGGGAAATATATATAATGGCTCCTGCGGGAGCGGGCACTGCTGCGGCAGTGGGGAATACAGAAAAGGCTCCTGCGGGAGCGGACACTGCTGCGGCAGTGGGGAAATACATATATAACGGCTCCTGCGGGAGCGGGCACTGCTGCGGCAGTGGGGAATACAGAAAAGGCTCCTGCGGGAGCGGACACTGCTGCGGCAGTGGGGAAATACATATAACGGCTCCTGTGGGCAGACACTGCTGCGGCAGTGGGGAATACAGAAAAGGCTCCTGAGGGAGCAGACACTGCTGCGGCAGTGGGGAAATAGGTAAGGCTCCTGCAGGAGCGGACACTGCTGCGGCAGTGGGGAAATACATATATAACAGCTCCTGCGGGAGC